TGAGAGGTGGTAAAATGGAATAAAAATCTCTCCCAAAAATGTTTTATTTTAGTCCCTCATTTTATTACTTTATCCCAATTTTATTGTTCCATAAGTCCTCTAAAATTTCAATTGACCAATTTAGGTCCTTCCTTTTAGGCTTTTCTAACAAATTTTTACTTCCTCAAGTTCATTTATAATTTTATTTGAAATTTTTAATTTTTAATTTTATGTAATTAGGTTCCTAATTCTATGCAATTAGGTCCCTATATATGCATAATTTATTTCACACCTTTCCAAAAATTTAATTTATTTACATAATAAATTCAAAAACTTTATATATTAATTTATTCATCATTCAAATAATTTTTATACACACCTTTAGGCCCTGAAATTAATTATTTTGCATAAAAATGCACTTATTCCTACGGAAAATATTCCCTAAGCACTAAAAAAATTCACTTAAGTGTATGAAATATTCCAAAACCTCCCTAGAAATTTTTCTATGCCCATTTGATAATTTTCATGCACATTTAAAACACTCAAAAAAATTAATTTGCATAAAAAGTACTATTCATGTATCGAAAAGCCAAATAAAATATTCATTAGACTCATAAAAATTCATCCAAATACAAAAAATATTCTAGCACCTCTTTAGCAAATATTCTATGCAAACAAAATAATTTTTATTCACAAATAACATGCTTGAAATAATTATTTCGCATAACGAGGTATTATTCTACATCGAAAAATCAATAAAATATTCACTAGGCATGGGAAAATTATCCTAAGTGTTTCGAATATTTTAAAAAAATCCCTTAGTAGTTATCCTATGTCCATAGAATAATTTTCATATACTTTTAATATATTTTAACTCATTTAATAACGGGTTAGGAGTATTACATTTCTTCTTTCTCTTCTTGTCGAATTTATAGGAGACATTTTTTTTTTTTTTTGTGATTTTGCCAAGTGTGATACACTTGGATCCATCTTCCAATCTCCTTCTTCATGAAGTTTTCTAGATTTCTGTCTCTCATTTCTCCATCTTTCTTCCTTATATATTCTCTCTTTTTTCTCACTTGGCCGAAATACTTTGGCCTCTCTTTCTCTCCTTTTTGTTGCTTAAATTCTGGTTGGAATTCATAATTCCAACAAAATTAATTGGTCCCTAAATTGATCAAAATTTTACATTTTGGTCAGTAGGTTTTCTTAATTAGTTCAATTGGCTCCTTCAATTTTAGTCCCTAAACTTTGAATTTCTACATCCAATCCCTTAATCTAGGCTTTTTCTAATTTTATAGTGGTCACTTAAATTTTTTAATTATTTTAATCAAGTACTCAAAATTTTAATTGTTGCAATCAATCCCCTAAGATTTTGCAATTACATCCCTAGGTTATTACAAAACCACAACAATTAATATCATAAACTCACTAATTCAAGCATTAGATAATTCATTTCCCATTCATAATTGTTATGCATGCATTAATTTATTTTTTAAGAAAGCATAAATATTAATTCACACCTCAATTAAATATTCATATATTAAATAAATTAATTATTCGTGCAAACATATATATACTTAAAGAGATTTTAGGTTGAGGATATTACACTATATGTTCTTTCACTCAACACAGTTTAAATTATTTGGTTAAACTATTTTTTTGACAAAATAATTATAATTGTTTTTTATGTTCTACATGTTGTTGCATGTAGTTTTATAAAACATGTTTCGATATTTTAATTAATTATAAAAATTTATAACTAAAAAATAAGAAAAAAATAACCAATATATATGGAGTCATTTGTTTAATAAATTTAATAAATAGCTGAAAATTTAAATAACTATTACATTAGATTCTCTTGTAAAATTAGTTCATGCCAAAAGCAACATTTTTTTTCCTTTCTTTTCAATTGTTCCTTTTATATATATATATATATATATATGCATTCAATGTGCATTAATTTTTTTTATTTTGATATTAAACATTTAAAATTTAAAACTTCTATGCAGAACAAGCTTATATCTCAATTTATTTAATTTTATATTTTTTATATGTAGAATAAGAGCATATATCTCATGTCATAAAAATCACCAAAATCATCAGTAACTAAATTTTTATTATTGTTTAAAAAGAATCTTCAATTCATATGTAAATTAATTTTTTTTTTTTTGAAAATTTAGCAACGCAAATAGAAATTTTAGTCTTTTATCATCAAACATTATATTATTAATTATAAAATAAAATTTGAACTTAATTTTATTTATGTTTATAATTTAAGACTGAAGATACTTTATGATTTATTTTTTATTTTTTTATAAAAATTAATAATTTAAGAAAATTTTCATAAATAATGATTAATTACATAAATATTGTCTATCATCAAACAAAAAAAAAATGCAAAACAAAAATTCGAAAATAAATCAGAGATGATGAGGGAGGAGGAGGAGGAGGATAAGATGAACGACGTGACACCTCCAATAGTAGATGACGTGTCGTTGAACTGACTATCTTTCTAACTTTTTGGATGATTCAATTTGAAAATTGCTTGTTGGAAACTCGGGAGCCTCTGTTTTTGGCTTTCCACACCCTATTTCTCCATTTTGACCTAAAGACACCCTCAAATCTTGTAAAAGTCCATTTTGAACTTCAAAACACCCTTTAATCCATCCTATAAATTCAAATAACCGAACCCCCCCTCTCAACCTGCTTTACTTCCCCACTTTCCACGTTTAAGGATCTACACCTTATACAAATAAAGTTGATAGACCATTTGATACCAACCTAAAATGTCAAGGACTAAAAATTGAATATATATATATTGTCAAAGCAACATTGCCTCAAAGAAATTCAAAATGACTTTGTTTTGATGTTACTTTAACAGGAGATCGCTACAATAAAATCCTATATTATTTTAGCTTTTTATAATATAGTAAGAGCTTAGCCAAAGGAAACCTATCATGTTTTGTTTTATTTTATTTATAGGGTTAATAGCCTGGTTTATCTTTATATGATGCATTGAGTTTCTAATCTATCTTTATATCTTAAAATGTATCTTAAAATAAGTCTTTTATGTTCATTTAAGATAATTCCTAATTTATTATTCCGATCAAACCACCTGAAAAATGCTACATGACTTGCATATGATTTTTTTTGACAAAAATGCCCTTTTCAACTTGGAATTTTTAATATGTTCTTATATAATATATTGAGTCTTCACTCTTCAATCTATTCTTAATGCTAAAAAAATCTATTATATTATTGTTAATAATTTTCCTAATAATGTATTACACTATAGTAAATTTTTTATTAATTAAAAATATATAAAAATAATTAGTATATGTTAGTATGTAAATGTTTAAGGGATTGTCATTAACATGTTTTTAATGATTAAGAGTCCATTATATTATTATTATTATTATTATTATTATTATTATTTATGTATAATATTGAACATATTGATATAATATTTACTAATATATTAAATTATCTCTATAAAAGAAAACATGTGAATCAAGTGCGAAAATAACTAAATAATATAAATATTGCTCATTGGATTAAAAAAAAACTACATAATTATAATTTAAATAATTTTTAATTAGTCTCTTAAACATGTAATTAAAAAAGTAATTATGATAATCAAATGATTGTAATTAGAGAAAACATGCTTAAGAGAATAATTAATAATCATTTAAATTATAATTATGTATTTTTTTTAATTACAAGCTTAAAGGACTAACAACAATAATTTAAATTATAATAATTAAGTTTTTTAATCCAATAAATGATATATCATTTATTTATTTTTGCATGCGATTCACATGTTTTTTTTTATAGAGATGATTTAATATATTAATAAATATTGTATTAATTTGTTCAATATTATACATAAATAAACTATTATAATGATAATAATATAATAGACTCTTTAGCATTAAAAACATATTAAATGACAATCCCTTAAAGACTTAAACACTAACATGTGCTAATTATGTTTATATATTTTTAATCAACAAAAAAATCAACCATAGTACCAACAAGTTGTTGATCTAGTGGTAAGCGTAACCGGTCTCCGGACAAATCTTCCGTCAATGTGCAAGATTCGAATTCTAGAATCACACTTATTAAGAAGGTTTACATTTTATCGTTTTTGCCTAAAAATTGATTAGTTTTCTCTTTAATGTGAGATATGAATACCTAAGTAAAAAAAAAATCAACTATATTGTAATTCAATATTATGAAACTCATTAACAATAATAAAATAGATTCTTTAGTATCAAGGATAGATCGGAGACTCAACTCGTTATATAAAGACACATTGAAAACTTAACATTTTAAATTAAGAAGGAAATTTTCATCAAAAATGGCTTTCGCCTAAAAAATGATTAGTTTTATCTTCAATGTGGAATAGAAATACCTAAGTAAAACCAAAATAAAAACATTCAATCATAGTGTAATACAATATTATGAAACTTACTAATAATAATATAATAGATTCTTTAGTATTAAGGACAAATTGGAAACTCTAACTCATTATATAAAGACATATTAAAAACTTAATGTTTTAAGTTGAGAAGGGTATTTTTGTAAAAAAAAAATTCATGTGCAGACATTTTCAGGTGGTTGGGCAAAAAAATGGAACTAAAAGAATAAATTAAAAACTTATTTAAATAAGAAGGACATAATAGATTTATTTTAAAATATTAAAACATATTGAAAACTTAATTCATTATATAAAAACAGAAAAGATCATTAACCTTTCTTTATAGAATAAAATGAACTTTGACTGCCAAATTACCCTTCTTTTTGTCAGCGGTTTACGTTGGCTTATATTGACCAAGTCACATACAGGCTATAGCTAGAGTTCTAGAAACAAACTTGACTTCCAAAATTAGCATGGAACATCAAAGCACTAAAACTTTCCCCATATTTAGCACATCTCCACAATGCCTCGTCTAGTGAATCCACAAAATATGAGCTAACAAAATGGCAAGGCACGTAGTTTTGGATAAACACAAACCATGCATAATGGCAATAACATATTCATAAAGCCCATTTTCTACCTCAAGTTGTCTAAACCCCAATTGGTTGGTGTTGGTGGGCGGGGGGTGGCGGCAATGGGAAGTGAGGGTGCTGCAAAATCAAGGAAAGTAATGGTGGTGGCAGACCCAAGCCGCGAGTCGGCAGGTGCGCTTCAATATGCACTCTCCCATGTAGTTGTTGAGAATGATGAGCTAATACTTCTCCATGTCGAAAATTCATTTTCTTGGAGGAACTCATTTTCGTTCCTAAAGATATCCAGCCTTCCACCAGGGCCTGTGCCCAACTTACCTGAAGGAGGTGGTGGAGTTGGGGAAGGTGACTTTCTTGAAGCAATGAAGCAAGTATGCCAGATTGCACAGCCAAAAATTCCTGTTCGCTTAGAGAGGACGCAGTTAATGGAGAAGGCCAAAGACAAGGCGAATGCTATCCTTAATAAAAGCAACCTGTTAGGAGTTGATCTTCTTATTATTGGCCAGAGACGAGGTTTCTCTACAGCAATATTAGGGTGAGATTGATACGCCATCTTCAAACTTTTACATTACATTGCATGCACAGGTTGCTAAATAATGCAACAAATACCTAAGGTAAAAATAGCTAGTAAGATGAGGAAAAAAGAAAAAAGAAAAAAGGAAAGGGGAATCCCTAATTCTGAATTAACTCTGCTAATAAACCATATTCACAAACCTCAATGAATCTACTCAGAAGGGATCGAAGCTGCTAAATCCAATGCTTGCTAGAATGCAGAAATATATCATGTTTCCGACAAGATAAAATATCAATATGCAACTCTTATCAAGGCTATCTATCTTCACTAATCTCTCCTCTCCAGCTACATTTTCTTTTTCTTTCTATACATGCATGGGTGATTACCAAGTAAAGACAGAAAACTTTAGATTTAAAAATCGATAGAATAGCAACATGTTTGATTGCAAAATTATGGGCACGCTAAATTATGGAAAAGAGGTTTGGTCCTCAGCATGGCATTCAAAAAGGATATCTGGGTGGCAGTAAGATGACTAGTTCTGCTCCTCAAGAAGATCATGAAAATGATGGGGAGAGGTCGGGCAGTAGAGAGCTTGAAATACGACCACAGAACACCACATCCATAACTTTCTCAAAAGATCCTATTAGAAACAGAAAATACCATTTTGATCTTGTTGTTCAGAATTTTTTTTTTTTTTTTTTTTTTTGGGATTTGAACTTCGTAATTCACCTTACTTTTTTGCATCTTTTGCACGAGCAGGTATAAGCGGTCAGGGGGTTCGGGGACAAAGGGGTTAGATACAGCAGAGTATTTGATTAAGAAGAGCAAGTGCACTTGTGTTGCAGTACAGAAAAGGGGACAAAATGCAGGTTATGTCCTCAATACAAAAACCCACAAAAATTTCTGGCTCCTAGCATGATCATTTTGTTCAATCTCACAAATTTACTGGAAAATCCTGCAAGCTTCATAAAGATAATCACTTCCGAGGTCAGCTTGCTCTAGAATGATGGTAACTGATTGTAGTAGAAATGCCTCTGCCAATCAAGTCGATGGGAAAGACTCCAAACCCATTGCTCAACTTTAGTCTCTCAATGTTTATGACAAGTAAAGATCAATTTCAGAACTTGAGTTTGTTAATCCTTTCATTGCCAGATTGCGTAAAAAATTTCATTGGAGTTTTTCTTTTCATTTTCGTACTGTTTTCATCTCTTAGTTCTCACAATTTCTAAACATGTGTTTCTCTTTCTATCACTTCAAATGCATAGGAACTTTGAATATCCATATGGAAAGAAGATATATAGCCACCAAAGCCAGATTCTATTTATTCAACTTACTTCTCATGTTCTTTCCTGTAGTCTTTTTATATCCAAAAGATTCAATTGTAGCCAATGACAAAAAGAAAGTATATTTTAATAGCTCATCAAGGCAATCTCAACTCAACACAACTATAAACGCGAGAACAAGGACAGCCTATAACCTATTGCATGGTATATTACTTGAGTTTCTAAGTGCGACACCATATGGAAACATGGGTAAGAAAGCTGAAGAGAACCTATATGAGGACTTAAATTAGCAAAACCTGAAACCTTAAAGTTCTTCGCGCATGGCTTGTTCTACTGGTACTTCCACTTTGGGAACTTCATTGTCTAAGACCTGAGCAACATTAATACCATCTTCAACACCTTTGGGTATACCATCTTCAACAGCTCTAGGTATAACATCTTCAACAGCTCTGGGTACACCATTTCCTACAGCTCAGGGTATAATATCTTCAATAGCTCCTGGCCTGACGGCTCCTTTTCCGGCCATACCAGCTTTTAAGGCAGCGGTAACCTTTCTCTGCAATGCAAGTATGCCAATGCGCTTGGAAACAACATAAAGAACAGCACAGGAGAACAAGAAAAATCCTATTGCCAGTATCACCCTGCCCAGATACAATTAGCATTTAAGTTTTGTGAAAGGAGATAATTAGGTATCAAGATGATGTAAAGAGCCCTCTTCTTTTCTTCTATACCTGTCAAGAACATCCTGACGTTGCATTGTAGAGAGAAGATTACGAGTTCGCGATAACAATGAGCGATGGCCCTTATATTCTGTTTCAGCCTTCCTTAACACCGTTGTTGATTCCTCTGAAAAACATGAATCCGTTAGGTCAGTTACCTAAAGGTTTCTTAAAAGTGTGCACTCTCTAAAGCACAGAACCAGGAAAAGGAAACATGCCATATCATAGAGAACACAAGTCACAATAAGAAGAAAACTGAAGAAGCTCCAAAACTGTACAAGTAATACAAATTACTAGATTGGGTACCAACGTAGCATCATATGGTGAAAATTTCCACAAATGGATGACCGTGTAAAGAAAAAAGTTGAACTGGTGATAATAAAAATGGTTCGTTGAATTACAAACCAATGCCAACTGGGAACTATAATGAGACAATCTCCATTGATACCAAAACACAAGTCTAATGAGCTAAGACCTTCCGATCAATAGCTTCAATCTAATACCAGAACCAGTGTGATGATATCTAAACACACATAGTTGGAGCAAACCATACTCATTACTCAAAATTTCCAAGAAAGTCCAAGTTGCAACCTCAGCAGGTCCATATGCTTTGCTTGTCAAATATAAAATTCCAGCACGTTGTCTGGCTTTCTGGACTGTTTTCAAGGACAAAATGAATAAAAGAATTGAAATAAAAGGTAAGTTACGGTTTTAACTTCCTGCATGGAATTCCTGCTCAAGAACTCAACCGTCTACGATATAATAAAGCAACGAGTGAAAGGAAAAAATGGAACCATCAAATCAGCTTAATGTAAAGAATAAAGTCAAGTTCCATTTTAAAAAGCTCACTGTGAATTCCAGAAAGCTTTATGAGAAAGATGAACCAAAAACTAAAATAACTGAAATATTCTATCTGGAATCAACTTCATAAGAATATCATCTCATCAAAAACTCACAAATTTTCACTTTCACATAATTTACAATGCAGGAAAAGAAGATGAAATGCAAGAACACTTGCTTGGAAGATTACAATAAGTCAGTCTTTAATTATTATTGAACACAAAACATACAAAAAATAACAGGATAACAACAAATAAAGACATAAGTTGAAACAAACAATGAGCGAAGGAGGATTCTTGCCATGCCAATATGATGGGGGGGGGGGGGGTTGTGGAGGGGAGGAATGCTTTTGATGTTCACAAACAAAAACCACCTACCAAAAGTCATGAGAGTGCTAGTACTTCTTTCAACCTCCTGCAAATCCAAGGTAAAAAGAAAAAGGGAAACCAAAATAACCACATTATAATTCAAATTACAAATTAAAAAAAAAAAAAAAAAAAAAGGAAAAGAGACAGCACAGTGACTAACCTGAACCATTAGCTGACGAGTACGGCGAAGGCTCTCTGTGATGCTTTCTGCAGCGGACGTCATCCCTGCCTTCGTCCTGACACAAAGCACAAATCATGCAACACATATCAACAAAACCACATAAAAGAGGAGTAGAACAATGCCGTATGATACATACAAGCATACTAAGAGTTGCCCATTTTCTTTAAAGAGTGCATAATACAATTTGCTCTCTAAATTTATTAAGAAAATAATACATGGAAAATGAATTAATTGGAAGTGAAATAAGATGACATACTGCAAATTTCGCCTGCGAATCGTGGACTCTTCTCCACCTCCTAGAAGAAGCTCTCTCTACAATTAAAAAACACAATCATTTATAAAATACATTGAGATTAACACAAAACAATAAAATATAATGCAGTAAAGAGTACCTCTTGTTGAGCAGCTTTTCTCATGTTAGCCTTGGCTTCCAAATTAGCATTTCTCAAACTCACACGCAAACTAATTCCAAACAACAACACAAAAATAAACAAAAAATAATAATAATTAAGAGAGGGAATTTGTAAAGAAGATGAATTACTCTTGGTAAAGTTGTTTCCAGGAATCAAGCAATTGGAGAGCGGATTTGACTTGATCATGGGTAGGCAATTGAGGAGCAAGGAGATCGAGCTGGAACTGTAAGGATTGAAGCAAAGCTAAACAATCTTGTGCTAATCCATTCAATCTCGGAAGAGAAGCAGCAGAAGAAGAAGATTTGACATCGTAGTCTTGAATTGCTTTGATGTGTTCTTGTGCTTTAGAATAGGTCTCTTCCCATTCTTTCTTCGCCTTCTCCACTGCCTCCACTACCTCATCCATATCGTCGTCTCCCTCTCCCTATTCCGATTGATTGTGAAGGAAGAGGAGAAGGAAAGATCTTCTACTTCTACTTACACAACAAAACAAATCTGCAACTGCAAGGCATACTCGATACAGAAAGCACATGCAGATGCAGTATAAGAAAAGAATAGATTGGAAACATGAAACACACCGTTTCGGCGACGATTAACAAAAACATCTAAAAAGAATGAGAAAATAAATAGTAACTATATTCATTCTTTCACATATCACTATTTATTTATCATTCTTTAGGTGGTTATTTTTATAATAATATTTTGGTGATTTTATTAACTCATTTTGGACATTCATGATTAATATACAAATTTTACATTATATTTCATTTTGGTTTTTGATATTTTCTAAAAATATTTTTGATCTCTTATTTTTTAAATAATTTTTTTGCATCCTTATATTTTTACTTTATTCTATTTTGATCCTTCATTGTTTCAAAAGATATTTTTTTATTTAAAAAAAATATTTTTAGCCCTCGTGTTTTTAGATTTTAAAATTAACATATATATCGAATTATATTATTCTTTATGTTTAAAATTAAATTCTTCAATTTGTCATTTCTTATGAAAATTCTCATCAAATTAATTTTTTATTTTTGTGTTATATATAATTTTATCTCGTTAATCAACATGATTTATTTTTCTCTATATATCGAATAAATTTTTTAAAATAAAAAACAAATTATCAATTAAATAACAGAATTCATTTGTTTTAGTTGTTTGTTCTTCATATAATCAAATTTTATCAAAATAAATTTTTAGTTATTTTTATTACACTCTGTTAACTTCAATATGTTAACTTACAACGCAATTTTTTTTTAAAAATAATTTATACTGAATATTCTCATCCATTGAGTATGGTTATGACATATAAAAAAATATTGAGATCATTGATTTTATTAAAAATTAATTATGCATCTACACACATCACCACAATCATTTGCTATTGATTTTTTTAGTATTCTAAAGTTAAGTTTTTTCAAATAAAATAATTAAAATAATATTTTAAAAGACCCACCTAATAACTCAAATATATTTTTTATACTAATATTATTGATTTGTAAATAAATATAATAAATTAAATATACATATTTTTAAAAAGTTAAAAAAAATTCCTTAGTTAATTTGTATACTAGTTTTTATGTTTATTGTTGTTTTATTTTTTATTTTTGATGTAATCTTATAAAAAAATATTAAGATGTTTTTTAAAATTTTATATTAGATTTTCTATTTACATTATTACAAATTTTTATTTAAAAATGAATATATAACGAAGAACAAATCTTATTTTTTTAACAATAAAATTTACAAAAAAACATTAAAAAAATAACAAGATACAAAATTTTAATTAAAAATTATTAAATTAGATAAAATTTATTTTTAATTTAATGTATTTTAATTGATCAACATCATAATATAAGCTATTAAATTAAAATAAATATATTTAATTCGTGAAACCAACTGTATAACTCTACATAGACTGCTTCTGCTTGTACAGCAAAATAAAATAAAGGGGAAAACTCAATTTTGATCCCAACCTATATATATATTTTCAATTGAGTTCCAAACCTATAATTCTTTATCGTTTTATCCTAAATGTCAGTACATAGAAAATAATTTTGAACGTATCTATTTTTTACCATATGTTAGTACATAAAGGTCACACATCGATATACTAACGCCACCATTTTATTATGTAACAGTATTAGATGGCAGATTGCACTCAAATAAAATATAAAAAAAAATTAAAATTAAAAATTAATCACTCAAATAAATAAAATAAAATGCTAGGTATTAAAAAAGAATAAGAATAAGAATTAAAACACAGACGTTAAAACTGCAGCTTACTCATTGCGCATTCAAATGGATGCTAAAGATTTTCGCTTCTCTTACTCGATTACTCATCCAAATTTGAAAAACAATTTTAAATAATAAGACATCGGCTTAATCATGGAGGAGAGAGACACATCTGTTTTATAACGGGTCAAACTACAAAAACTCAAACCTCTAATCATCCAAATCAAAACCTCATAGATATTTTCATCAAAAACCAAAACCGAACCTCTATAATTTCTAGTATGAACAAAGAGGGTAGCGATTATTTTGCGTTGGAAAATTGAAAAGACAATGGAAATGAACTAGATGAAACGTTCTTTTTTCTAGTATACTTTTTTATGAATAGAAAATAATTCAGCTCAGCATCAAATTTGTTTGTCATGCATTTAATTGACAACAGCACGTAAGCAAATGTAACGAGTAATGATCACTTCTCATAAACCTGCTTTCCAAGAATACAAGTGACAGATTAATTGCTTGAGGCATTGAATACAGTTGCACAATTAATTAGCTTCCGAAAATACACAATGCGCAATAAAATTTTCCCTCTCCAGTGGACGACTACAGCTAGTGGAGCAACTGAAATCAAAAACAAAATGGCTGCAGCCACTGCTACTTCGGTTCCATACCATATCACTCCATATACATATAATGGGAAAATTTTCCTTTCCACATAAAAAGGACGGGGCTGGATGAGAATTCGTACCACCACAGCAGCTTCTACCAAAGAGCAGAAATAAAGCTCTTGATGCATTAATGGATGATCACTTGCCAGAGAGATTGGTTGTGCCAAAATTCCAATGTTTACCGTCAGCCACATTAATTGCTGAGAAGAGCTTCCAGATGGCAAGCAACGTTCTTGGTGGGAACTATGAAATAAAGAAAAGAGGCATCGCCCATAGCTTCCCTCTCATATACTATATAGGGTGAGATTTTGCGGGATTTTCTCCCACAAATCCCATCACAGCAGCTTCTCCAAAAGCGAAAAAATAAAGCTGTTGATGCATTAAGGAACAGTCACACTTTCCAGAGAAAGATTGGTTGTGCCAAAATTCCGATGTTTACCATCGGCCACATTAGTCAGTTTGAAACCTTTAATAGGAAGTTGGTTGATGAGAAGGGTTTCCAGTTGGCAAGCAATACTCTTTCCAGGGACTGTGAAATAAAGAAAAGCAGCATTGTCCAATCCTTCATTCGAACGATGCGAACGGATTCGGCTTTCAAGATCATCTGTCTGTAGCAACAGTCAGCAAAGAGTGTAACTAATAAGAGTCATAAATTCAATAAATCAAATTAATGAACATAATCCATGGACCATAACCAGAAGCTGGATGCAAAGGCTTGTTAAGCTATCACACTAAAACATATGGGCTATTTTTATACGACATTTTGAATCAATCACTAAAATAAACCCTCATGCAATGGCCAATTTCCGAGTGTGAGCTCAAAAATAATAACAGGAAAAGAATATGTTAAAAGAGAGTACCACTCCAATATATAGCTTCTTGTCAGGTATCAACATCACGTAGACACAAGAAGCACCGACTGTTGATGGAGGTGGCTGTTCCCTAGCACCAATGGCAACACATTGTACTGCTACAAGTTCTGATGTGTTTTTCTGCTTGTAGAGCTCAATCAGCTTCTTCTGGCATATCATGGTAATAGCATTCTCAATATCTTTCTTCCCCACAGTATCCACTACCTTTGTCGAATGGGTATTATGATGAAGAGGTGCTGTGGTTCCAGCCAACAAAGGGGCTTCATCAGAACCGTTAACAATCCTACCAGAAGAAAATTGTCCAACACTGTTGCCTGTCTTTCCTGAAACAACTCCTTTAGCATAAGCTGAAAAATACAGGTCTTCAGCTCGTTGGATTATACTTTCAGGGATTCCTTCCTTCTTAGCTGTTTCAAAAGCAAGACTTTCTCTGCATATCCCATCTATCAACCTCCAAGTTGGTTTTGTTCGACCATCCACATATTCTGTTCCCATTGCTTTATACACAGTGTTGTTGGTATCAAGTGGCAAATCGAATATGCCATGCAAATGTGTAGAAACGATGCCAAGACAACCAATTCTATCAAGAGTTTCAAGAATGCTTCCAGCAATACAAGTACCCTTTGCTGTTTCTGTCCCTCGGCATATTTCATCTACAAGCACAAGGCTTCTTGACGAGGCCCCAGTTACAAGGGATCGGATTTCTGACATTTCCACCTGAGACATGAAAAAAGATTAAAAGAACTCAAACACCACATCTCTACAATCCAATCTGCTGGGTAGACAACACAATTAATGAGAAGAGATTAAAAACTACGTAAATCATAATGGAGCATAAAACAAGTTAATACCTGAAATGAACTTTTTCCATCAGCAGGACTATCGTAAGATTTCATGTGAAGCATTATAGAATCAAAGTTAGGAATCAAGGCAGATTCTGCAGGTACCATAAGTCCACATATTCCAAGTAAGGCAGATGCACAGATTGATCGAAGCAAACTAGATTTACCACCTCCATTTGGTCCTGTCAAAAGAAACAAGGACTGCATAGCCACTGTATTCTGTACAGCACTGCCTTCTGCAGCATCGAACCAATATGGAGACAGACCAATCAATTCCATCCTCTTAGCACCATTCAAGGATTCCACATCCTGCTCAAAACATCATTCATCATCAGAGACCAGCAAATGCATAGCAGTTTGACGATGGTAAAATCTTATAATAGGATTAAAAATTGTGGGGCCTTAGTGTGACATATCCATCAAGTATAGCAGCTACAGCTGTAGCTAAAGAAACATCCTTGAAAAAAGTTTCCAGGTACCACGTCATGAGAACAGAACGCTACTAAACCAGGTTATCAGATATGCAGAGTCATTGTACAATTCAAATCTCAAGTGAAGCAAACTCACTTTGAAATAATTCATGTTTTCAAAGGACCACACAGTATATTACAATTCAGTTTTTGTTATACAGCAACATAATATACAGAGGAAAACAAAATCAATCGTCTTTGTGTCATTTTTAATTTTAGGAAAAGCAACTCCACTAATAATATGTAAATTATAATTTCTGATGTGAATTATTGATATTAGAGCACACCAGGGATCTATTAGCATGGTGCAGTAAATGTCTGCTAGCATAGATGGAAACACAAGAAATTTGTGCTACTTTGAGGCAGCTCAAATCATGGTTTTACAACTAGACGATGGGAAACAAGCAAACGCAGTTCATTCAAAATCTTCATAATGCATTGCAAAAGTGAAATGATAATGCTAGCTAGTATGCTTTACGAGCTTCAATACTGTGCACATGAAAAACAGCAATATTAATTTGACCAGAAATTGACATGTTGAATTCTACCTTTGAATCATTGAAACCAGCAAGAGTGGGAAAAACCCATTTCCTCCGTCTCCCTTCACTGTAATAACATTGAAACCAAAATTAGATGTGGATCAAGGAACACCAAATAGCAAGGAAAAGTCACATATGATTGTGAATCAATTAACAAAAGATTCACAACTCAAACATGTCAGATTACGAAGTCCCACAACATTCCAAAAGGCTTTTTACTTGAGATAATAAAATAGAAAAATGAAATATTTTTCTTCCCATTGATTAACAGTCAATCCCATATGAAAATGACCAGAAGTCGACTGGTTTGACCTGTAGCCCCCAACATGCATGAGAGAGAGTGTGTGTGCGCAACTTTAATGCTGCAACATGTGTCATTTCAATGGAAGAATATGCCAGATAAAAACTGATGCATTCACAAATGGATCTTGAAAAGACTGAACTTGTAAGGACATGAACTCATCCAAATCACTTTGTTCAATCACAAAAAGAAACTGCCTTCTGCACAGTACATTAGTCAAGCAAACAATTTAAGAGGTAGAATCAACTTTGTGATGGATTATTTGTAACTGATACCTAGCCAGTCCAGCCCAATTCAGGTTTCTATCCAACAGCCAATACAACAAACATAAACTAACATCCTGTTCTCTTAACACATCCATGAGAACTTGTCCATTAAAATAGGCATCAACATTTGTTGGTGTTCTTTCTATTATAGATCTAATAGATTCACTATATTGTAAAGTATATTTTTGCATGTCTCTATTTCAGTGAACTTTTCAAACAACCACCACACAGCATAAGACAAGACCATTTATCAAGCAGTTATAAAATTGTTTTTGATAAGATTACCAATGAAATTACACTCAAACCCCTCATGGATTTCCAAAATATGAACAACCAACCTCACATGGGCAAATAATGCCTTTGCGATTACAAGCACCATTGATGCTAACACAAGGATATTGACTTTAGTTTGTAACTCGGCAGAAAGCCCCCTCAACAATTCCAAAACCTTTGCTTTTGCTTTCTCACTTGCATCATGATACCTAAAACAGAGGTGGCATGACTTGATTATTGAAACGGATTTAAATGCATAACAGAATCTAAGTAGGTGAAAGAGGAGGATCACAGAAATCATTTTTCATAACATCATGTCAAAACAGCACACCTCATTAAAGCATCTTCCAACTTAGTTGTAGTGAACCATTCCTCACCAACTTTTCTACCTTTAGAATCTACAGCAGGTTTAAGCTGTTTAATTTGTTCTTCCCCAGGGGTACCAGCCCATATTACTGGTGCAAAGCGTTTTCCCTTGAACCAAACAGCTTCATGCTCTCGAGCATACAATATTTCACCCTTTGCGCCACCAAAGGGGGCTGTGGTTGCTTTTATTCTTGAAACGATAGGGATGAAATCTTCAGTGACCTACAACAATGATGTAAGCCTAAATACATGAACAAAGGCATATGCTACATACATGTATTGTATTATCCATATTAATTAAAAAGCAAATTAATAATAATGATGATTAAAAAAAACTCTAAGATGATAAATTTATTCAGGACTAGCTTCCAAGGTTGATTGGCAACGTCTCAACCTCTTCTATACTGAAGGTGCCAAAATAAATCTTTCTGCACCAGCAGATTATGGTGTTTATGGAATAGTTGTAGAGATAACAAAAGTACATAATATCATATCAAAAATTGATGATACTAATGCAATGAGCATCCAGTGCCATACTGTAAGCTATTCAATATAAAGCACTACAACCAAGACTGGAGCCTTTGATAAACACATAAATATGCATGGTATGGATTGTACATGGCCAAGTGAATTTCTGATTCAGTAGTGAACTGGGGGAAAAAAAGGAAAATAGAGAGAGCAGAGAGCCATGAGTTTATGAATGAAAAACACTCTTCTATGAGCATTGAACAATTAGGGTAAAGAAGCAAGGCGTCTGTCTACTCATAGCAGGAAAAGTTCCATTCCAGAGACAGATGCAGTACAATTAGGGAATAGAGAAAGTAAGAAGAATTATTCAACAAGTAGAAGAGACGAAGCAAGAAAGAAACAGAGAAAAGAAGAAACACCGGAGAAGAGAGAAAATCCAATATTATTCAATACACTATTTCACATGATTTCTCATTAGTCTATATTAACAAGCCAACCAATGATAGCAGTACAGGTAGCAATTCTTGATTAGTCCACGTGTATGGTAAAGGAAATATATTGATCAAGAATTTTACACGTAACAGAGACTTACTGCTAAAGCCAAGGCATGTGCAGCCTTTTCCACTTCTGAAAATTCCTCTTCTATGTGAACCCTCTTCACTCGAAATTTCCATGACGACTCCATATCCTCAAAAAAATCACTTGGTACATCAGGACAAGAACTTATCTTTTGATCCCTTTCACCATCTAGAGAAATCATTCCAGAAATTCTCCCCAAAGCCCATTCACATTCATTAACCTGGAAAAAACAAGAATAATAATGATTACAGCTTACCAAACTAGGAAATCCAATTTCAAGAAGAAAAAAATACCACATGCCAAAAAAGCATTACTATTGGATCATGTCTAACTAGCTGTAGGAAGCAAATGCGATGCCACTAGATTTTATTGCCACAAATTGAAAGGCTTGTTACTGCCATCAGCACATAGAGCTTGTTCAAAAGGCTACAACTTGAGCTAAAAAAACTACGCATTAATATGACTGATCCATAAGGAATATCTGCTTAATGTGTCAATATTCCTTTAAAAAAATCTAATTATCATTTGAGATATAATTATGTAAAATCAACAAAGTAAATAAAATGTTTCTTACTCGTTAAAAGGAAAAGAAAAATAAACAAATAGAGAAAGTGGGATCTTGACAGAGCATTGGAAATTACTTGGGAAGGCCCCTTCCTTAACCTAATAAATTCTCCCTAAGTTATTATAATTTTGCCCCAATAACCTATATTATTCAACTCCTTAAGGTATGCTTTTCTCAATGGCCCTCCTTAAAAAAGTGGTGGCATTCTGCCACAGCCTTAGAAGTCGCATCAATTTTAGAGAAACCAACAAGAATGACGAGAAAAAATAATAATAATAAAAATAAAAACACAGCAGCATTTGAGCAGCCTCAAGACTGCCAAGATATTAAATTAGTCTATAGCTGCAAAGAAGTTAATGATGACACGTATATGTAAGCATTCTGGTAAAAACATATCAAATTCGTCAATACATACAAAAGTTAATAAATGAAAATAGGAGTTCCAAATTCTAACAAAAAGATGTCGCTCTTCGTGACCACTTCAAATGTCAGATTCAAGTTTTTCCTCTGCATTACTGACCAGCTAATGTTCTATTTTGGTGAACATCAGCACATATTAAGGCAACTATACAAGACAAAATCCAATGTTGCTTCCACCTTTAATGCATCACGCCCATCCCAACACCCAAAGCATAAACCAGCATTTGTATATTTCAAAAAGGAAGAAGTTTATTGAAAGGGTTTCAATAACATATAGAGCAGGATGCTTCCACTTACAAAAGTCTCAAAGTCGATTTTCAAACCAGTAGCCATCCAAGCAGGATCCATCAATGATTTCAGTATTTCATTGAGCTCAGAATTTCTATACAGGAACAATATTTCATCAAGTACATTTTTTATTCTACAAAACTCAATATGATTGGCTTCCTTCTGTTCAAGTAGCTTCACAAGCTGCAGGACATAAGAAACCTAGAATCAGATACAGAATTTGGAAGCTTTTAATGATTTCAGCATGGATTTTATCTTCAAAACTTCTATTAATAGAACACAAAGACCATATATTTTGCTGAATTTAGGCAACTAGTAAACAGAGTATATTGCTATCATCTTCATACTGATTGAGTTCATGCCACCATTAAAACTTTCAGGCTACATATAAGGCAAGCAGCAGCAATAGAGATAACGACAGACAATGATTTCAATCCAACAAATTCACTTTTACAACTGGGTAACATTTTTTTCTTACTAATTAACAAGCACAAACTTTAAGAGCTTATTTTTGTTGATTTTTTAAGAAGGGCAATCACTGATCCGTCATAGCATGGGTCCAGGTCAAAGTGTCGGAAACACCAACGGTTTTGAAGAAATTTTTGGAACCACTCTTGTCTTCACATCATGATCGTGACCATTCAAAAACAGTTCCTTATAATAAATAAATCACAGAAAAACAAGTGTTTAATGCAAAAAATTGCACTTCTTGTCATTTATAAATTCTGTAATTGACTGTATCTAGTTAAACAAGATAATCATGCCCTCCCAAACACAAGATTTGAATTGACCATTACAATTTAACAAACAATTTCAATCAATCATCAAGAATTCACAGCAAAAACCTAAACCACGAAATATGGTGAACAAAGAGCCTAACAAAGCATTAATGGAGAAGGAAAACTCATGTACTACATTACATGATATATCTCTAATTCTGGTGAAGATAGAAGCTACAATTAAAGACAGTAAACAAATAGAAAAAAATACAACATTCAGTTATTTTACATCAAACAGGTTAACAGGTAATTTAAAAACAACCTTGGCAGATGAAACACAAGTGAACTCCGGAATTGAGCATGCTACATTGCTTATAAGTTTGCATGTTGCTGCCAAACAAGAACAAAATAGTACAGAATTTTAAGCACAAATCAAAGAACATGATGGATACTGCCATATGAGAACATAAGAACAGCAGAAATTTGACAGTCAAAAACATAACAAAATAAATTCAAAGGGGAAACCCATAAACTTCTCTGAGATATTGCTTAATTTTGCCATTATGCACTTCTCAATATAACTTATTTCTAGCAAGACATGTTGCCTGTTTCCTATCAAAGCTGACAGGTTTGCAATAACTAACTACTTTTCTTTTATTACGGGCTAAAATAATGCAAACTCCACTTGCACACTTTGCCATAAGTAACTACCCAATATGCAAACAGATTGCTCATGACTATATGTCTAAGTTATGATTTTGATTTTATTTCTGTGACAAATTGGCCCAATTAAGGATGGAATGATCATGTGTGTCACGTTATCACTAACACGAGTAAATTACATATTTTGATATTCGAGAAAAGCCTTATTTATGCTTTTTTTTATTATTCAACTATTCGTTTTTTAAAATTATTCATTCCAATTGCAAATGGTCTGTGTAACAACGTTATCACATGGACTTATTTGTTAGAAAAGTATTATTTTTTTAAAAAAAAAAAAAAAAGGAAAAGGGATGACATTGGATTTTAGCCTTACAGGAGCCTGATTTAAATTTGTTAATTTTAAGACAGCCCTGTTTAAGCGATATGCATTGACAATCATATTTACCTTTTCTGTCTTCTCAAATAACAATAATGATATTGTTTTTCATTTTAAATTTCAATAGAAACATATTAAACCACAAGAAAGGAAGAATAATACATCAAACAAAAACCAAAATGTATGCAACAAAAATCAGATTCAACCCTCATTGGAATCTATATTTGTGCATACAACCAAAAGGAAATCACAATATTTACTAAGTCAGCTGAAGTGAATTCATTTCCAACACCCAACGACATTTCCAAATTAAGGTGAATATGAATATAAAGGCAGTGCATATTTCCATTTGTAGAGAGAGAGAGAGAGAGAGAGAGAGAGAGAGAGCAACTTTGCATTGTAGCATCATTTATCTCACAACAAAATAATTTACAAGAAAGTGAGCTAAAGCCATTACAACCATGAACTTCATATATTGCAATTCAACAACCAAATAAACAGTCTATATAAAATGCACATTACAACTCACCTTGAATTGTTGATGCAATTTCGTAAGCAGGAGGGTTGAGAAGTAGATCTCTGACATACCTGAGAGATCATGAATTAAGAAAATCAAGTAAACCCGAGCCTTATTACATCACAAAGACAGCAAGGGAACAGAAAAGGGGTGCACCTACATCTTCTAGATAGGCTAAGGAAAAGAAAAAACTTCGTGCAATGCTAACTTGAAGAACACAGTTCTAATAACAATGAAACAGAAACAAGGGAAGCTTGACAAGAGCTTCTATAAATGGAAGATAAAAAATGGCTTGGGAAAATGGAAAACCCATTACCATATAAACAATTATATGCACAAATTGAGCCAATTTTATATTTTAATGACTCTACCCATGAAAGAATCGGTGCATAAAATTATTTGCAAGACTTAAACTAGTTTTGATGTTCCATCGCCTCAATCAATATCCACTCCCCCGTCCCCACAAACATCCTCAATAAGGAAACTATGGATCTGAATAGCCAAAATCCTGAAATACTATATTTGATCATTCTTGCATTAAAATATTCAGCTTCCTTGGTCAGAGAAACTCATCCATTCTTTTCAATGAAATGCAAAGCAGTCTTCAAGGCACAATACTTTCATGTTTACCATTCTGAGTAAAGCACCAAAAAATAAATTTCAAACAGTTTGCAGGCATTAAGTACTAGTACAAAACAACATTTGGAAAGCTCAGCTAAAATAGCTGACTTTCTTTTGTTTCACAAGTTTCCTAAAGACTGCACCAACATTGTCAATAATCAACTTCTGTGCAAAAAATACAGTAATAAGATAATTTAAATCTGACCAATAAAATATGACACTCTAAAAGTTTCAATATATATATATATATATATATATATATATATATATATATATATATATATCTTGCAAGGGAAAAATAAATATGTAATAGAGGGTTCTTATAACAACTCGCTGAAAAAAGATATTGATACCTTTCCTATCTAACCAATGACAACCTTTAAATTCTTTGCACTCATTATTCTCCCAAATGTATTTCAAGCACTAGATGAACATTCAAAAAGCTAATTCACCTCAGAACTTAGTTTCTAATGTAATAAGCCAAGAACTACTGACTGCCGAATTCTGTGTGTATAAAGTGGTGTTCCTGCACTTTTGGTCAACAAAGAAAATGCTAATGAGACAACCTAGTGGAAACTTAGGAACTTAAACCTTCTTTCAGAAACAAGTTCAAATTAATCAAATAAATCATGTAGTTGACCATGGTTAGTCAAAGTATCATGGTATCATTACTCATCCACTGGGTACAAATTTGTTGAGGGATGCGTAGGTAGGTGTATAATCTCACATCAATCCAACAGACTAATTGGACACATCATTAGTTTTTTTTTTTTTTTTTTGAGAATTAAATTGAATGGCTCCTTTATGCCTTCCTTCTGTGAGTGGGAAGTGAAAAGCTCCCTTTAAAATCCATGCCTTGGCAACAAGGAACATAGTTGCAGTGTTCATTAACTGTTGCCTCTACAGTCATAGCTTTTCAAGAAAGAAAAAGGGTGAAAATTCACACTTACAGTTCAGGCAGACCAGTGCAATTTGATGGAAGTAACACCTTCAATAAACAAGGTATTCCTTCCGTTGGTATGGCACCTGGAAGTAAGGAACAAATCTTGCCAAATTGGTTTGCAAATTGCAACCAGGTTTAAATGAAACAATTCAATTTTAAACTGTCTAGATAAAGTTCAACTGACCAATTTGTGTGGCTGTTCCAAGGTGTAAAGGATGGGGCCTATTTTCTGAAGACACAGAAACATTTCTGAATGCAACTTTATCATCAAGACCATAAAGCTCCCTGACCTAGAAGTGTTGATATTCTTAAATTACATAACCATAATCAAAGAGCATGCAACAGTATGAGCACAAGAAGAGTGCTCAAACCTTGAACAGAAGCTCTGTGACAGGATTTCCTTCAAACCACTCAAAATGTCTGCCACTACATTCTCCCCACAACAAGCCACCCTCACCATACTCTCCCCAACGACAAGTTGCTGCAGAAAAGTTGCTATTGTCAACAACAAAATGCACAGCATGGCAACAAGAGAAGATAAAATAACAGAGAAAAGAGATGCATGTAGCCACTGGTAATGAAGAATTGAAACTTCACTGAGAATCCCAAATATGGCTCTGACTAACACTAGGAAAATAATATATTCATGCAAGGAGCATCTTTTATGCTTAAGTTCCCAAGCACACGATGTACCTGCCCTTCTCTGTTAGTTTGCAGTAATTTTAACACCGGAGAAGAGGGTGATTGACACCTCAGACAAAGCAGGAGTGCAAACGTAGGCAACACCACAAGCAAATCTAGTAGCACACTTGAAAATAAGAAAAGTGCAAACCTGAGGAATTGCGTCTCAAAGATTTATGAAGGAATAAATGGTGGTACTGACAAGTACGAAGCTTGGTAAACAAAGCCTCTTCAGTCAGACCATCCTCTAATGAATATGTTTTCATGGTCTCTAAGACTGAAATCATGCAATAACCCCTTGCTGATCGAGATATACCTATAAGTGCCAGAAATATTTTACAAAAGATAAGTCCAATTTTTCTTTTCTCCACGCTTATATGCACTGAGATAACTAGTTTATAAGATAATGATAGTTTTTCATACCAACCACAGGCATCGGTTCTGGAAAGTCAAGATCATGATCAACCCCAACAAGTCCAAAAACGTATGGACTCCCTGGATGTGCATGCCTGAATACTCAAAGCAACAAGTCAGAACGAGATATAGAAATCGTAAATAAAAATGAAATTTAACACAACTAACAGAAGCACAGCCTATCTTTGATTTGTATGCTCCCTTCATATCTTACGATTTTCACAATTGCAATTATCATTACAATCTATTTCAAACATTCAAGACGGTTTTAGTACATGCTGAATTTCAATTCTTTCCAGAGCTTATTTTATATCCACCACATTGGTAGTTAATGTCAATTGAATTTCACAAAAAAAAAAAAAAAAAAAAGAAGCCATTTTTGGTCAGGCAGACATAATCAAGTTTGAGCAGAAGACAGAGAAAAGAAATGCAGAGACTAACACAGATTCCTGGTGTTACGTTGGCAAGAGGCAGACCAAACCTACCAAGAAAGTCAAAAAAATAAAAGAAAGAAAGACTCCCTAGTGATACATACAAGTTTAAAACGCACTGGAAAACCCATTGTAAATCACAGAATGCATTTCATTTTTTGGTCTTGCTAACCAAATGCATTCATTTGTAGCCACAATGCCTTTCTTTTGCGAAACACTGAGAAATAGTGCAACATGATCTACGCATATCAGATAATATTATTGTTCCCATTAGAAGTACATAAGCATGCCTTCCATGCATTAAAACTATTTTCTTTAGAAAGAAATTAGAGCAGCACACCAAGAACAACATACATGGAAAGCTGCATGAAATAAACATTAAACTTGAAACATGCTTAATCATTTTTAACTATTAAGTTAATTCCAAAAGAGCTCCTGGGTATGGGCAAGGTGAAGATGCTTTAAAACTACAATAAATATTTTATTATTCTATTTGTGTTTCATTGTAAGCAGAACATTTTTGAATAAATTGCTTTAGCATGTACAACACCACGGCCACCAACAGAATGTAAGAACCATTGATAGCATAACTTTAATACTGGATGTTTTCTGTGTGATTACCCAGAAATGAAACGACCTTTGCGTGAACGAGCTTGTGTTGGACCCTGAACTTCCTCTACTATGCACTGTAACAAACATAATGGAACCATTGAACAAAATCAGTCAGTAAAGGTTCATATCTTAACATGGTAATATGAGGCATGATAGGATTAACACCACAACAACAACAGACATCAATCCCAAACTAGTTGGACTCGACCATATAAAATTAACACCACATGATGAAAAAAAATAAAGAGCCATTTTTATTAAAGCAATACTAACTAGAAGATATGTTGATCTTGAAGAAAAACAGAAGGATCAAAAAAAGTTAAGTAGTCAAAACGTATAACTTCTCCCCAAGAAATTTACAAATTATTCAATGCTTATGACATGAAATTATCTGTATTTTCCTATCCTCTTCCAACAAAGAAAAAAATAAAAACTATGCAGTCTTAAGGGTTTTTTATTGCAACAGATGATAAAGGAACAACACTCAGCACATCAAACAAATAGGTATCAAAGGAAGAAAGGTTCTGCTGGTGTTTCACTGAAAAAGGAAGATCCATGTGACAGTTTCCATCCTTACCACTGAATATCCATTATGTGTCAAATCATCTAAGGTTTGCCGAAGATTCTGCAGGAGCATTTTATAATGAGTAAAGTATTGGCCAACAATGAGAATGAATGGAATGAGCTGAATGCATTTTTTATCATACTTCAGCAAATAATGCACGGAGAAAAAATAAAAGAGATGGTGCAGCTTAACCTAATAGGGTAAGTAAGATTTATAGAAATGAAATACAGATAGGGATTATCCAATACATCTATATATAAAATCCTTCTTCCCATAACTGAAGAAACTATGAGCTGTTTTATTATTATTATTATTATTATTATTATTATTATTATCATTATTTTGGAAAAAAAGACAGAATGTAACCGATGACTACTGTAAATAGCCTTATATAGGATGAAAATACCACAAAACATGCATATGTAGATGCAGAATGAATAAATGCAGCAAGCGTGTGTGTGCGCACAGCATGCGTGCATGTGAGAGAGATTGTGTGGTCAGGAGGGACACAAACTAGGATGTAATTAAACATCCCTCCTAAGACCACCTTTTTGTATGCGACAATGTGCAATCAGGACTAACATCCTTTCTACTGCATCAGAATTTTGACCAATCGCAAAATAATCCATTATCTCATTCCTTAAATTAAACCACAAATATTTTCAAGACTTTCACTTAGCCATGCAAGTTGGGGAATGCAGCTTAATTAGCATAGGAGGTTGTTAGTTAGCTAAACATGAATCTACAAATCTTTTTCCTTTCCGTAAAAACAGTAAAGAACAAGGCATGCGCAATGAACTTTGTGATAAAACTGTACATAAACTTTCTAAATGAAGAAAATCTACTATAATAAGCGAGGGATGTGAATCCAATACCACAACAGGGCAGCCAGCTCTAGGAACGCTATCTGTACGAAGCCCACCAAAAGGATTTAAACCAGCATACTCAACAAGAATACAAGCATCTATTCCGATGGCTTCATAAAAATCCCCCACCTGGAAACATAAAACACTAGCTCGACTATCATCAACCAATTATGTAGTGGAAAAGGCAAAATATAAAGATTCAGGGAGAAATAGAAACACAATTCATTGTTGTCTTGAATGAACCATTTAGGACACTGTGAAACCAAGTAGTGATAAGACAATAAATCACATACCCTGCAGAGCAAAACCTCGCGTGGAAACTTCGACTTGAATTGCAAGATTTCCCAATTGAGATTTCCTTCCTTCAAACTGCATCAGAAAACTTAGTGTGTTGATATTTCTCTTTACATCATTATCAGTGCTTATGCAGCAAAACAATAATAAGTAACCTCAAGATGCATGGTGAGAGCGTACCTCCCGTTTTTTAAGCTAACATCCAAGCCGAGCAAATTGGAATACATAAGCCTTCTAACCAGATTAACAGTGGAAGGTTTCCTGCACCGCTGCAACTTCTGCAGTAATAAAATACTCACCAAAACCAAAAGAAATAAAACAAAATTACATATTTCCAATAAAAGAAAAGGAAAAGAACAGAAAGAAATGGAAGTGCACCTCCTGCCACCAAATAATGTGTGAAAGATCCTTATCATCGAGAACATTATTGGATGCTTTAGATTTCTTACTACTTCTAGCTGTTCCTTTCAAATTTTTTAAGCAATTGATACGTTGCACCTGTCCACTCCTGCTGTATTTACCACTTTTTCACAATTATTTAGATGCAAATTCACAAAAACAATGAAATTTAAGTTTGATTACGGAGAGTGGAATTACAGAGGCGGTGGCGACGGGCTAAGTGAACTGAATGTGAAAGAAGGAGGGCGGAGGAGGAGAGCGAAATAGCGCCACTTGGGGAGTGAAACGACGGCATTTCTAGTCGCTAACCAGTACATAGTGAGATATTGTCTTCCAATTTTGGAGAGAATGTTGACATAAACTATAAAAGAATAAATTTTGGGGATTTTCTAATTCTAGGGTTTGTCGGGATTCGAGTAGTTTCTCTTCTTTCTTCTGCAATTCTGCTCTTCCCGCCACAAAACAACAGAGAGAGAGCGAATCAGGGGTTGCTGTCTTATTATTTACTGATATTTTTTACCGTGAGGAGTCAAGACTCACGAATCGGTAATTTTCCTTCCCCCTCGGTGCTTGTGGAGGATATAAAACGACAAATATATATATATATATAATATAACGTCTATGTATTTCTTCTCTATTCAAAAAAATAAATAAATAAATAAAAGCTGCCGTCTTTTCTAATTTGTGGGTCCTACTTAGTCTTTCAACTTTTAATATTTTCTTATGGTGCGTTCATTTTACTTTCTAATGAGATAATTATATATTTGATACGTTTTTGGTTAAGCAATGTTAATAGACAACCATCCTAAGTTCAAAATTAATTTTTAAGAACTTCTTTTTTGCCATTTTTTTATTCATGTTTAATATATTATACGTGTTAAATCTGTTTAAATAATTTTAAATTTTATTTTAAAAGCAATATGTGTTGATTTTATATGCACACAAACCCTTATTTCTTCTGTATATATTAGAAAATCTAATGATTAGGTTATTTATTTTGATTGTATTATTTCAATTATTTTTATGCATTTGAGAGGTCCTGTGGGCAAGGGATTTGGTCAATTTAAACATTGTGGCTTAAAAAGCGCAATTATATCTTCTTGATATTTATATGTATGGACAAAAGTTTGTCCTTCCCTCCAAAAACAAATGGCATCAACATTGGTTTAGTTAAGTAATTAGTTTTTTTTTATTCGCTTTATGCTCGCAGATCGAACGTAACACATAAATTTATTTTTAAAAAATTTATTCTAATTTAACGTTTCATTTTATATCATATGTATATCAAAATATATCAAATCAAAATTGAATAAAAATTCATTCAATTTTATAATTTTTTTAATCAAAATTTTTTATTTGACTAATTATTCTTTATATTTTTCATAAATTTGTTTACTAAAAAAATTATTTATTCATCTTTATCCATCAACTAAAAAATTTATAATAGTATAAAAATATCAAAATCAATGGGTTCTTAAATAAAAACTTGTTATGTAAATTATTTTTGCCTTAAAATTTTTAATTAAAAAAATCGAAAAAAATGACCAAAGTGGTCAAAATGAAACAAAAAAGAAGGACCAAAATTAAACAAAAAATATTTATGGACTAAGAAAACAATATTTACAAAAGAAAGCAAATTGTAATGTCACAAAAACTTTGATAATAAATGTCTTAAAAATATTTGAAAACTACAAAAATATTACTACATAGTTAAAAGAATAATGCATCTCAATCTAAATAAACAATGTTTCAAATAGTACGATAAATAGTAACCAATCGTTTTATTTTAGTTTTTTTGTTAATTATGTATTTAACATATTACCTTATAATTTCAACTAAAAAGGGAATTAAAAAATATCAAAGACCTAAAAAAAGGATTATTTAATTTAACCCACACCAACAAGGAGTAGTTTGAGATTTGCCTAAAATAAATTAATGTATACACACTAGGCGAGAAAAGAGCCGGGTAATTAACTTGAATTTGATTTGCCATATAAACATTTTATGAGGGATTAAAAGCTCGAGAATCCAATTAGAATTAATAGTGTCGATGGCTTTTTTATGTTGATTATACAAACACTAGGCAAAAAAAAGTCGGGTAATTAACTCGAACTTTATTTGCCATATAAACATTTTATGAGGGATTAAAAACTCGAGAATCTAATTAGAGTTAATAAGTATCGATGGTTTTTTTATGTTGATTATTTTGCGTAAAAGCAAATGGGTCAATTCTAAAAGAAAGAATCTCAAAGGAGCAAGTAATTTCATTTTATTTTCTATTTTACAATATTTCCTCTAATTGCCTCTAGTTTTCGGTTAAATGATATTTATAATTAATGATGTGCGGATTAGTTTAAGTAAACAATATCAAAACAAGAAAATACAGCATATGATAATATCTAATAACATATAATGCGAATACTAGACATGATTGTTAAAAGCGCGTACAAACATTTATTCATACAAAATCATTAAGACAAAGACATATTAAATTGTGCTACATATAAACACACACACACACACACACACACACACACACACACACACACACACACACACACACACACATATATATATATATATATATATATATATATATATATATATATATATATATATGTATATATATATATATATTACTCTTAGGATATTTCAAACCTAAAAATAAAAAATAATCCTTCATTGTTCGGTCTAGCGTACAAAGCAGAGCACAGCTACATAAAGAATTTTATATATACATGTTACTCTTAGGATATTTCAAACCTAAAAATAAAAAATAATCCTTCGTTGTTCTGGTCTAACGTACAAAACGAGCACAACTTACATAAAGAATTTTTTATGTACACAAGGATTCAAATTCGAGATCACTTGTTTAGACAATTAGAGTCTTTTCCACTCAAACCAACTTGAAAGTAGAGATAAATGCTTATTCATACTCCACTGTTTCATAGAGTTTATATATAGTAGTAATAGTTTAATACAACCAACCAGACTAGGTTTCAAGCTAGCATGGATGCCTCATGCTTAGAATCAATTATAGTAATTCAAGTGATCAACGGACCAAAACCAATGCCCTAATGTTGCAAAACATAGGACCGCCGACATCTTTATCGGTACAAAGTCTTGTTTGTCCTCGTGGATGGTTGGCTTTTTCTTGGAAATAGGCGTGCTCCCATGTTCAAACAGATGATATATATGCTTAACAAAACATAATATTAAAATAATATATATTTGTATGTATGTATATTATTTCATTGATCTTATACAACTTGCTATTACTTGTCATTTATTTAGTTATGTGTGTTGCTTGAAATACTTAAAGTGTAGAAAATAATAAACCAAAATAAGATCTAACCTTTCCTAGAGGAAGAAACCTTTATGAAGGAAGATGTTGGTTCTTGAAGATTGGACCATGATCTTTCATATTCATTTTTTTGTATTATATGAGAAAATGTTAGCAAGAGCAAAAGTTGGTTGATCATATATAACATAATTAAAATCATGAATCTTTTTACAAAGAGAAAAAAAGTGATGTTCGTATAGTATAATTAATTACTAAGTTTTTAATAGCTTTGGACTTGATTTGAAGTGTCGTATAATTGTCCCAAAACACAACATGGCATGCGGTCAAGCCTTTGTCTCTGGAAATAATCTATTGAAGGATTGTAGGTTTCATTCTTATTGTCAAAGCATTACATATAAGTAAAGTACAAACTCTTGAAAAATACTTGTCAAAAAGCATAAAATGGCTTCTTGGATACAACACTACACCAAAAGATGGAATATTTATAGTGATCTAAAGAATTGTTTCAAAATGTAATAGCTTTTAGCTTATATAAATTTTATCTAAAAAAAATTACCAAATAGTTGATAAAACCGTCCCATTTTTTAAGCAACTAGTGTCCTTTTTTTCCTTATTTTGGATTTTGAAAGGGAAAAGACATTTCATTATCATGCTTTTTACCCCTTGTTTGGATAATTCCTCTTGGGAGGAAAGAAAAGAGAGGAAAGAAAATTATTTTTCACTTGTTGTTTGGATAAGAGTGGAAAGGAAAATAAAGAAAATACATTTTCCTTATTTGGATAATTGTAAAAAGGAGGAAGGAAAGAAAATGTATTATTGTATATTTACTATAATACTCCTATGATTATATTTCTATATTTAAATACTTATAATAAATTTGTACAAATATTTTTTTCATGAAAATAACACAAATAATAATAAAATAAAAATCTAGCATGTAAGCATCTATTTAAAATGAAAAGATAGATAATGAATCGTCTTCATAGAATAATCGATAACTCGTTTATTAATTAATTAATTCAATAGCCAATTTAGATTAATTATCAACATAAAATTAATTTAAATATGTATAACATGTATTATTATCTATGCATATAATAAGTTAATTGCTTTTACCCATCATTTTCTTCATATTTTTTTTAGAATAAACAATTACTATTTAGCAATTAAAAAAAGAGTATATTATAACATTGCAAAGAATCATGAAAAGTCAAATGAATCACAAAAAATAAGATAAATCACAAATAATTTTTTTTTCTTATTTTGCAATAACTCCAAAAAGTGTTCGATAAGTCGTTTTGAGGGATATTTTGTGTCTATTTTGGTGGGTTTTGTTGGTGCTTTTGAATTTGGTATGAGGTTGTTTTTGGAGCTTCTTCGGTGGTTCAAATGGCCTTTCCAAAGGAGTTGCTCCGTAACGATTTTGAGGGATTGTTGACAACAATTTCGTGGCTGAATTTGCAGACTTTAAGTAGGTGTTAGGTCTGTTTTGGGGTTGGTTTTAGTTCTATTTGCTGAGGATTTTTTGGGAGGGTTTTTTGTGTGGTTTTGAAGCTGGTTTGGGGTGTTTTGGAGCTTATTTGGTGGTTCAAATGGCCTCTACAAAGGAGTTCCTCCGTAAGGGTTTTGGGGGCTCGTTGGGAACAGCATTATGGTCGAGTTTGTAGACTTTAGGTAAATGTTAGGTCTGTTTTAGGGTTGGTTTTAGGCCTATTTTTTAGGGTTTTTTTGGGGTTTTTTTGTGTGGTTTTGAAGCTGGTTTGGGGGTGTTTTTGGAGCTTCTTTTGTGGTTCAAATGGCATTTCCAAATGAGTCGCTCTCGTAATGCTTTGGGGGTTGTTGGTAACAGTTTCAAGGTCGAGTTTGGGGGCTTTTGGGTAGGTGTTGGGTCTATTTTGGGGTTGGTTTTAGGCCTATTTTTTAAGGGTTTTTTGGGGTTTTTGTGTGTGTTTTTTAAGCTGGTTTGGGGGTGCTTTTGGAGCTTCTTTGGTGGTTCAAATAGCCTTTCCACAGGAGTTACTATGTAACAATTTTGGGGGCTCGTTGGTAACAGTTTCGTGGTCGAGTTTGGAGGCTTTTAGGTAGGTGTTGGGTCTATTTTGGGGTTGGTTTTAAGGCAATTTTTTAGGGTGTTTTGGGGCTTGTCCGTAGCTGTTTTAGAGCTAATTTTGGTGCTTTGGGGGAGGTGTTAGGTCTCCTAAGTACCGGATAAAAAAATGTGAAAGGATTGAGGAATGAAATGATGACAACTTCTTATGTAAAGTCATAGCCTAATATGCAAAAATAAATCATGGCTCCCAAGTTTTAGCTTGGATTCTTACTTGTTTATCACCCTCAAGTTATGGGTTTGATTTTTTTATGTGATTATAAATCCTAATAGACGTCAAATTTTAGATGGAAATTGATGCATTCACATATTTGTTTTCATCATATTTTTTTTCAATCACAAATTGTACTGTGTAGTTATGAGAAATTATAAAAATAAATAAATAAAATAAAATAAAATAAATGATTATAAGAAATGTTGTGAATATCCTTCAAATTAAGGAGGCATGAAAGTCTAAAAATTACATCCAATGTAAGGATATGAAAAAAGATACGGATATATCTTTTGATTAAATGGATCTTTATTATCAATCCTACCAGCTCCCTCCTCTTTCCGTGGGTGTGTATATATAGACACCAACCAAGTATTACATTTAGCCACAAAAATCGAAGCCACTATTCTCCTTTCATGTGAGCGTGCACAACATATAATCGAACCTCGCATTTCGTACCCTCCTCTCAATCTTCAAAATTCTAATTAAGCTAGCTAGCCCATCATGAGAAGCGACATAGATAGCTTTTGGATCTTTGCTTTGGCCTCTAAATACGAGCCTTTACACAAAAAAACATTACATGATCACTTTATTAATGGGTTTAGCTTGGACGACCATTACCCTTATTTATCGGGCATACCCTAGTGGTCTAGCTTGGGCCAAATACAAACTAAAAAAATGCTTCCTTCACAATTTCTAAGCCAATTCCAGTGTTTAAGGGGATTGCCTTTTATTGGCAACATGAAGCTTATGACCTCCTTAACACATCACAAGATAATGCATTTTTTATGTTAGATCCCGAAACTCAATCTGTAGATGATAGCTATGAATGATATGAGTAAGGATACCGCCGTCATCACGAATAAAGCCTTGGTGCCAAATTGGGCTGAATTGAAATCCTTTTAAAATTCTTTTATCAAATTCCCGCATAAATTAAATATAAAAACAAGTGTGACTCGTGACTTGGATTTGTTTCACATCGTTAGCTTCAACAAGAAAATAAACCTAGCAAATGAAGAAACACTTGCACTAAGTCTAACCAAATAGACAGGAAATTGAGAATCCATTCTAATTTTTTAGGTTTTTACGAGTCTTATGAAAGAATATGTTAAAATAAACTAAAAATAACCAATAGGGAACTGCAAGGGAAGATTAATGTCGATATATCCAACCAACTTGCAACTTAACATAAATTCCCAAAAAATTTCCAAACATAAGAAACCATTGAGAATGACAAAAACGAAGAGACATTTCAATTAAATTATTAAAGAGGAATGTTTTTTCCCTGCAGCCTTATAGCACAAATTTCCTAACCTTGCAACTCGATAACTTACATACTATCAATTCATGACTTTTTAATAATAATAATAATTAAAAAAAACAAAAACTCTCTATGCATTCAAACCGAGAAAACCGCATGTTAAACCTTCTAAAGTTGACAAAGTGTAACATTCTAAAACAAAACAGATGAACAAAAAGTTTCTCAATATCAACATTTAAGCTCGAACGAGACAAATTTGAACTCGAAGAGGAACCTCTCCGGTCGGAGGCCTCATGTTTTTCTCGACGAACAAAAGTATTCCCCACTATCGACTCATGCCTAGCTAAGCATCAACTAATTAATAGTAACAACTTTAACTCATAAACACGGAAAATCATAAATTCAAACAAGTTCCCATAATATCATAAAACAAAGAAACTTACATCCCCATAAATTTTGAGATTCTTCGGAGAATTTACCTTGTTCGTTCCTTTTCCTCTCCCTTTTGATTGCAAATTCAAAGCAACAAATGGTTTTTTTTAGTCTCCTCGATTACCAAGCTCCCGAAGCAAGAAAATATAATCATCCGACCCAAGTAACACATTTTCAACGGCCCCTTCGTCTTTTTCATACTCTATTACGTTCGGAGAGCTTCGGGTAACCGAGGTGTGGCGAGTACCCATGGTGGTTATGGGTCGCCCGAAATGGAGTTTGGAAATGAAGCAGGTGGAGCGACAATCGAAGAAATCGATGCAAGTTTTGATTTTGGGGACTCGTAGAGGAGAAAAGCTAGGGTGGATTTGTGGGTTATGAGCAGTGGTGGTGGTGGCGGTGAGTTTTTGGTTCATTGCGAGAAGATAGAGGGAGAGGAGGTTTGGTAAGAGAGACTCTTTGATTAACAGTCGGTGGGGTTCGATGGTGGGTAAAAGGTTCAATAACTTGATTAGCAGTCCATCTTTTGGTGGGGGTTTGATTACGGATTTGTTTTACGGATCCGTTAGCAAAGAGTAGTAAATGAGGAGGACGGTTGAGGCAAGGGCAAAAATGTGAAACAAATATATATATACATCTCACGTTTTTCTCCTCGTTTCCTTCCAATTTTAGGAGGAAAATAGGTCCAACGGAAAAAGCATTTATTTTTTTCTTTCCTCTCGGTTTCCTCTACAATCCAAATGAGGGAAAACTTTCATTTCCATCCCCATTTTCTTTCCTCTCCCCCACTTTCATCCCTATCCAAACAGGGGTTAAGGTTTCATTTCTTCTCCTCTCCTTCTTGCTTGAAATTAAATTATAGCTATTTGCTAAAAAACCTAGTTTATAATTTAAAAAATCTTTGTTATTTATAAATTGGCTTATTTCAAATCAATCGGGTACTCATCTCCATGAATACCGTTAATTTTCTCTTTGATCTCACTATTAGTAAGTGTGTTAAATTAATCTTTTGTTTGTAATTTTATACATGCTCTTCTTTCTCTTTCTATCTCTATTTTTTTCCTAGCTTGTTAGTTAACCAAGAGAATCCTTCATGTCCAGTGTAACAA